GAGAGGAAGAGAGACCCAAGATCTGGAGGACGTCATTGAGGACCTGGAAAGCCTACGGGCCGAGCGTCACGAGCAGCGGCAGGGTACTGGGTAATGCAGGGGGGGTCCCGGGTTCAATTCCAGGAGCCCGGGTGCTATCTGTGTGGAGTTTGCATGTTCTCCTAGGGTTTGCTTTGGGTTTTCCCCAACAGCCCAGAGAAATCCCTGAGAGGTTACTTGGCTCCTGGGAAAGCTGGCCGTGGTGTGAGTGTGTGAGTGTGTGTCTGTGTGTGCCCGGTGATCGACTGCCCAGGCTGTGCCCTGCCTTGTGCCCGCTGTTTGGAGGAATAGGCTCCAACTTCCTCACAACTCTGTGGTGTGTGTGGGTCCCAGTGCCCCAGCACAGTCATGGGGACACTGTACTGTAAAACAGTCACGGGTCTTTGGATGAGGGTCTGCTCTGTCATCGTTAAAAATCCCAGGGAGTTTCTCAAAAAGAGTAGGGGTGTTACCCCCAGTGTCCTGGCCAAATTCCCCCCCTGGCCTTTACCCATCATGGCCTCCTAATACCCCCCCTCTCTGAACTGGCTTCATCACTCTGCTCTCCTCCCCACTGAGAGCTGGTGTGTGGGGAGAGGACTGGAGCATCATCCAGGTGGGGCTGCACACTGGTGGGGGTGGAGGGGACCCCCATGACCTGTAGAAGCGCTGTGAGCGGAGTGTCCAGAAAAGCTCTATATACGTGTAGGGAATTATTATTATTATTACATGGGTAAACATGGAAGGTGTTTTAGGTAAAAGCTGGTTAGAAAAGCTGTGCACAGAAATGTGCTCCTTCTTCATACCTCCAGCCTTGTCCGGTCAACTCCAGGTGGCAGCTTACTGCGCCCCCTGTGGGTGACAATCAGCATTTCATAGGGATAAATCTGAGGAGACAAAATACAAATACTGCAGTTTTAATTGCCAGCTCTTCTCAAACAGACCACTGAATTGTTCAGAAGAGTCCTTCTTACTATAACCTGTAAAACACACAATATGCCAGCTTTGTGTGCTAACAGTGTAGTCACCAATGTGAAACTATCTGTAGTAGACCAACATCTTAACAATGAGTGTGTGTGTCCAAGGTTGTTGAAAGCCTGCAGCAGACGTCCCATAATAATTCATTTGGATATTCAGTTTGTTTCTAAGGTGTCTGCCTGCCCGTTTCCTACATCGTGTCCCATACTGGACACACACAGAGCCATGATGTAGACACACACAGAGCCATGAGCACACACACAGAGCCATGATCACACACACACACACACACA